TCTGTTCCAGTCCTTGGGGATGTAATTTTGGAAAGATTTTTTTTTATAGAACTGCTATTGGCCTTAGATTGGAGTGTAGACCAGACGTATACACTTAACATTGATTGTATTTTACTTATTTAAATAACGGATCTTTGATTGATAGATAACCCGCAGATTAAAATGTAACAAGGTAGTACAAGATGAAGTAAGAAATGTTGTAGAAACATGTTTTAGCATGTGACGAGCGAGATATTCTCTTTCGCATATATGTTCATGTATTATTCAAAAGTATATAAAACACCATCAAGATGAGTATGAAAAAACTTAAGAGTATGTAATGTATGTACGCCAAGGTATTGTTTTACTCTGCGCTCTGTACAATGAAAAAATAAACACAATACATTTATATTATATTATAAATATATACATATAATGCGTGTGATACAACAAAAAAGACTTCTTTGGAAAAAACTGGATATAGCTGTACACAAAGAGGAAACTCTATGGTTGGACGAGGAGAAAGCACTTTGGGTGTAAATAATAAATGCATCGGATTTCCCACAGACAGATTATTTGACGTCAGATTTCGGAGGTACGCAGAAAGTTTCTTTTGCAAATTTCCGATTTTCTTCTTCCTGAACCTAGTGCATAAATTAATTATAAATCAATCCGTGATAATCAATTTTGAAGCAGTTAATAATATAATTTTAGTAAATGCCTGACGCGATGGTTTAATTTTACTCAGTTTGTAAAATAGACAAATAATATATGCTTAAATGTAACGAGTTACATTTATCGAAATTAATAATAATAAAAAAAAAAAGTTAATAATAACTAATATCTTGTAATTTTTGTTCATCGTGAATGAAGTAACTGGATAACATTATGTTAGGCTGCATTCCCTTTTACGGACTCTGAATGGATACTTGAACTCGCAGTGCTCCCTAGAGAAACTAGTAAGCTTTTTTATTTACTATTCGACGAGACGTGTTTTTATCCGTCCTATAGATGCTGGCCTATATTTTTTTTTATCTTTGCCGTAGTTTTGGCAAAACGACCAAAATCAATTTCAGGTTTGTACGTGTCGTTTGGGGAATTGATAGAAAAACACCGCCAACCGATTTATCACTCTTACCTTATAGTGAGATAGATTCTGGTCGACAAAAGAAGATCTATTATTTCATCAACATTACATGTAGCGAAGATACTTTTTTCCATACGTTAATTTTTTCCTTGCTATATAACTTCGAAAAGTAAAAAATAGTATGTGTTTTAAAAAGATAAGTTATAATACATGTCTGAACGGCACTCCGTATAGGCAATTCAACAACGTTGAGGTCTTTGATCTACTATTAATCTCTCAGTTATACAATCGTTCGTATTTGATTAATGTATTTAAACTATTTTCTTGGAATTTTAAAAATTAAGTATTCAAATTGATTCAACACGTCCTCTATAATTGTTCCATTATATAAAAAATATGTTGTACAAGATTTAAGTGTAATTGTTTATTTAATTTATTTATTGTTTATTATTTCTAATTATTACGAAAAAAGGAGTACCCGTAATATTTAGACTTGTAAATAAAAAAACGCCTTTTTATATAAACCGCTTAAATTAATTTCATTTGATTATTTAAATATTGCAGACAAACTGTTAAGTCTATAGAAAAAAGTTTTATGCAATAATTGTTTAAAATTTAATAGTTCTATTTTTTTGTTTGATATATTTTTTTATTTAAGAAAATACAATATTATAAATATTGAAAGAAAAATGAATTTGTGAATAATTTTCATCATTAGTGCTGATTTTTTTCTTCTTTTTTTTAGCCTCTATGCGAATCTGAGAAAATAGCAATTTTAATATGATGTGTTTTTTTTTATTTATATTTTTTTCTGACTGTTGCCTTTTTCTCAGGACTCGTTGAACTGATATATTTCAAAGATATGTCAAAAAATCGTCGTATCTAATCATTACCCATATAAATTGAAAAAAATTTCCCCTTTATCTGCGAATGAGGGAAATCCTCCAAAAATACAATTTTAAAAATTGGTAATATTCGACATTTATTACTTAAAACTGTCATAACTTTTTGAAAAGTGGATGAATAAAAAATTTTTTTTTGTCATAGATACTTTATTGTATAATATATATTTATCTATTATTTTGTATATATTTAATTTAAATTCCTTTTATACTAGGGGGCCAAAACTAAACATGCGTATTAAAAGTGGAACTTTTTAAATTTAATTTTTGAAAATGTTCCGGAAATAATGACACTTTTATATATACTTTAAATTAAAGCTTATGTACTTTAATTTTTTTCATAAGTAAATACTAGCTTTTTTACTAATTAGTAATATTAAAAATTTGAGATGAAAGAAAAAATTTAATTGCAGATTTGAAAACAGTGTGAATAATTATTTTAGAAAAAAATTTTTTGACTATCATAAAAATCTCTTGTAGACTACTGTATTAATTCTTAAGTAATACTTTCTGCGATATCTGTTATTTTTACTATATTTTTTAAGTTCATAAAGTTCAGTTTAGTGTTAGATAAAATCGAATTATTAGTAAATCGATTGTCTCTGTGTGTTAAGAAGACAATACGAATTTTATTAATTGTCAACGTATTTACATAAATTTATTAATGGTAATTCCATTTAGGTGATAGCAAATGTAATCATGTAAAATTTAAATGGATCTAAAATACTATTACCATTATAATCTTTGTTAAAAAAATATTTGTTTCCTTAAATCTTTATTCTGTTTTTATTTAGCATTAAATATCTTTGAAGACTCCAACTAAATACTATTAGTGGTTTAAACAAATATAAGAAAAAGATTTTTTCTGTCTACCATAATTCTGAATATATTTGGTCAATGAGTATTATTATTTAATATTTCTATATTATGTTTATTTAAAAAAAATTGCCCTACTTCTAACTTATATTTAAATATTAATACTATTCACATTGTTTTCCTTCCGCAGATTGTCTAATAAAAAGAATAATATTTTATATAATATAATTACACTTCACCGTTGGTGTTGGGTCCATAATGCCTTCCTTTCAATTAAGCTACCCTTTCTTGTCCCATTCAAGCATAAACAGAATTCTATTACGCTATGAAAGGTAAAAATCCTTTATTAAAGTTATAAAAAGGTTGAAAAATCTGCATTCACTGTAAACATTTTTAGCTTATATTTTCTTTAATACTCTACTAAGAAAACTATTTAAAACTAATTACTTGGCCATGGTTTTTTTTTTGTACTCGCATTGGGCGAATGTCATTTGCATAATAATAGCTTTAATAATTGCAGTAAAGAAAAAATTGCCATAAAATGTTTTCTTTGCCACTGTATTTATATCACCAGTGTACAATACTATTGTTTTATATCTATCCAAATTAAAAAAACTTATCGTTGTCCGAATTATTTCCTTGGCGATATTTTAATTGTGATGTCAGTGGACGTTTAAAAAACTATTATTTATTACTGTGTTATTATCTGTTTAATTCGCTTTTTATTGAATTTTATCTGTAGTCACAGAACAGGTATAACGTTAACTTTTTTGGTTCTATTTAATTTTTATTAATATAAATGTACTCTTCGGTGATGGATTATGACGTTTTTTTGGATATAGGATTTTTTTATTCGTCCATCTACCAGATTATTAATAATAATTTTTATAATGAATAAAAAATTATGAAACTCAATGGTGATATCGGTCAGTTTCTCTCAAAGCAGTTTGAAAAATGTACGATGAGTAATTTTAGCCGGAATTCGACTAACAATGAATTTATACAATTATAAATAGCACTTTTAACTTTGCTATTGAATTATATATATAGATTAATTCTTTAAACATTGAACATTGTGTTTTGGTGTTCTCTTCACTTTATGAGTGGCAAGCGTTAAAAGAATCGTCTTATATATATATATATATTGTCTGAAGATGACGTGTTTGTTATGTTATTTTTATCATTACGGATATTCCGCCATGCTCCTTCCATTCATGTATTAAAATAATTATAACTTCTGAACTACTGATTTTAAAGATATTATCCTGTTGTGGAGCTATTTTTTAAATTGGACTATTTTCTAACGTTTATTAACTATCTTAAGATAATTAATATCTTGCCATTTAAATAAACAATATCGACGCCTTTATAAAAAATATTTAACCATTTTAAATTAAAAAATAAATATTACAAAGAAAGAAAAAAAATTAAATTATTATATTAAGAAAAATTTAGTGGTTAACCATTAATTAATATCTGTATATGTTTTAAATTTAAAGTAATTTACCGTTCTATTTTTAGTATAGAATGTGATATTAATACTTTACTAATACTTATAATACAAGTACATATTAGGTAATTTTTAGTGTCGAACAAATTTAATTATTTTCCTGTTTTTGATTGTACTTACAACCAACTAATAAAATTAAAGAAAAAAAAATTAATAAGTGTTAAAGAGTGGAATGTAATTTTCTTATGTAGTTGGCTAGACAAAAGTCTATAATATGTAATCAATGATATTAAAAACTCCATTGTATCTCCGAGAACCGATTACCAATATCCGTTAAACTTTTTTATTTTTATTATTATTATTTTTTTACCCCATTTTGTATAATGAAATTTTCTCCTAGCATTGAAAATACTTATAACAAAATGACCGTACCAGTTGTAAAGGTGTACAAAAGATCTTATTCGTGTGTTCACTACAGAAAATGTATTTTTTTTATTTAATGAAAAAGACTCATAAAGGTCACACATTCGAATGTATATTCCTTTTAAAGAGTATTATAACCCTTTATTGTAGTGAAAAACAAACTTGGAATTTTTGTTCGCTCACTATTCTCATGTTTTTACAATGCCTTTATTTAAATTCTAATAAAATGGTGTCAAAATGCAATTAAATTTTTTTCTATGAATGTATTTTCTTGTGAAGTATTTATTTTACTTATGAGGTTTATAGAAATTATTAAAACTGTATCATTTTTTTCTCTTTACAGCGTGGGTCTGACGAAATGGTTACGTCTCCTGGCGTCGAAGGAAATAATGTCAGTAACGGAGGGACAGATCACGTGGAAAATAACAACGATACCAAAAAGGTAATATTAATAATATACCCGTTTAACTATTTTATATACTCCATATAATAGTACACATTCAAAGATACGAAAAAAAAAAAATAATAATAATAATAATTAATAATTGACAAAAATGAGATCAAGTTATATCATCTTAATAGTAACATCTTAATAATAAATAGTAACATACTATTTATTTTTAATTTTGCATCTCATCACAGATTAGTAAATATGTTTAAAAAAACATTTACATAATTCATAGCTTGCTTGCTGCTTATTCTATTGACAAATGATACTTAGTTTCAAAAATTGATTTGTACTCTGTATCCTTTCATCATTGCACATGTTATTGTAAAAATATGAGTAATACATCGAAGATACTATTATTGAAATAAGCGTTCGCGTTAGTACGAGGTAAATGTGTGACCAATCCAGTCTTTTAAAAAGTTCAATTCTTTGACACCATAAAGCGATACGCGAATACCGCGATAATATTAACAACATGTATATTTATATTGACTTGTTGACATGAAGCACACACCCCTCGGAGACCAAAATCGCCGCTGTCCATCGTCATGACGACCCGATTGAAAACATAGCGAGGAAATATGTAAAATTAACGATAATAATAATAACAATACTTGTCAAACAAGTGTACTTCTTCATGTATTTTCAGAAAAGTAGTGAAAAGGCATCACTTCAACTACCTTCGAGCTTAATAGAGATAGCAGAAAGGCGGAGTCTTTTAATCGAAAACTTTTTCGAAGAACACTTGAGGTCTTTTTAATAACATTGGGTTTTTTCCGGCGGAGGTCTTACATAAAATAATGTATTGCACGTTTTTATTAAATTTCTTACACGACAGTAATAACGTTTGAGCCGTCATCAGAAAGCTAAGGGTGTAGAGACCAAACCGAATTTAACGGTTGAATGCTTATAAAGATAGGACCGGTGTGGGCAAGTTATAAAAAATACATATATTATTATGTGGTTTATTATAACATTATATTGTATATATACCCTAGTACTTTCCATTCGCTTTTGCCGCTCGTTAACTGATGTGATTTTTCATTTTTAACGGGTTGCGAAAAAACTGCAACATGCAAAATCTCAAATAATTTACCTACACACTCAGTTATTGTTGAGAATCTGTTCTTCTTACTTTTGCCGAATTGTAAAACCTATAAATTTATTTTTATTTTAATTTGTCTTATTCGCGTAATTCGATTTGAAATTGCAGTTTTGCCCTTTTTTAGGTTAAAAACGGGTGTGAGACAATTAAGAATTCGCTCATTTAAAGTGGACAGTAAATACGTTGCCTCGAGCGTAGTGNTTTGAAATTGCAGTTTTGCCCTTTTTTAGGTTAAAAACGGGTGTGAGACAATTAAGAATTCGCTCATTTAAAGTGGACAGTAATTATACGTTGCCTCGAGCGTAGTAGCAATGAATTAACTAATACCCTTTCTCGTCGACCTAATGGTAGAGATAATTTGAAAGAAGTTCTTTTGAAATTGAATTCTATATTGTACTTTGGGTGGTTTTTTCTGAAAAAAAAAAAAAGAATGAAAGGTAATAGCGACGACCCTAACTGTCATATTGTATCGTTATTACGATAGAGTAATAAGTGATAGTGTAATTTTGATACACCAAATTTTAATTTTATATTAACTTCTTTATTTATTTCTATTAATGGTTGGATTATTTTATTTATGCAAAGTGATCAACGATGTTGTTTTGAGAAATTTAACCCATGAGCCGGTAATTATTTTTACTTACTTTTTTCAATAATTATTATACGTTGGAACTATAAAAAATATAATGTATAATAGTTTTTTTTTATTTATTAAAATAATCATTTTTTTTTTTAATTTACGAGTACCGTAAAAACAATTTCAAGATAGTAATTTTATGAAAATTTGTTTAAAAAATATCTTATTAAACTTGAGTATTAAATTATATGTAGCATATTTCAGTTTGTGAAATTTTCATGAGGTTTTTACGATATCATACATTGAAATATGCATTGACAAACGAAATTTACTTTACAAAATGGCTATTTTGAATTTTTTTTTACAGTTCTCGTAAATTTTTAAAAAAATATTTTTTTCAATTAACGAAAAATTATTATTTATTATAAAATGTTTATACTTCCAACAATTATTTAAAAAAGCAACAGAAAATATTGGATGGATCAAAAGATCTAAAATGTTTATACTTGTATAAATATAAAAATATTTACATATTTGTATATGTATCATTCATAAGAAATATCAAATAAATCAATTTTCTACTTTAAATGTTATTGTAAACAGTATTTCTACTTCTGCGTTTTTGTTATTTATGTTACTGAATTGGAAATCTGACGCTTAAAAACACATTTTGTTTTAAAATAGAACAAAATGAAATTAGCTTATTGTGTATATGATATATGTACTTATGTATCATAGTCCACTGTCACTGATGATGATTTGAGGTCGGAAAGGCACGTCCTTTGTGCATCCGGTTATCCAAATGATCGTCTGGCCGATTGATGGTCACAAGAGCTAGAGATGAATTCATATATATATATTTTGATAGTTGGGCAAATAGCGGAAATCCAACGACGGCCACAAATTGAATTTTAGCCGTCTGCGGTTGGCGTGTATTTGACAAGTGGCGCAGCCTCTTAAATTGTCTTAATTTTACTCAATTGATCGCATTCAATAACGATAACATTTTTACTATAATTAGTTAATTTTTTTCAGGTCAAATTAGACAAAACTGCAAACAATAAACCTTCCAGGGTGATACACATTCGAAATATTCCAAATGAAGTAACTGAAGCTGAAGTTATTCATCTGGGTATACCTTTTGGCAAAGTCACCAACGTACTTGTTCTAAAAGGCAAAAATCAGGTAATCTCGCCGAACTTTTACTTGTGCACAATTTAAATGTAATCATTAAAAAGATAACCTTGTTCGGAGAGTTCGTGCAGTGGTTGTATTCAAACATCGTGTGTTTGGGTAACACATGTTTAAATTGTTTAGTAATTAATTACACTAATTAAAATAAGTATAATTATAAAATAAACTATATTGTTTCTCTTGCTTTGCACAACTAGGTATCATGTTTATCGTTATGTAATCTTTTTTTTATTTTAAATTTGTTCCTCTTGCCTATTATTATAATATATTATAAGAACTACGAAAAATCAAAGATGAGTAACTGGTCACAAATAATTTCTCACGGTGTATGTTGACCTTAACGGTAGTGGCATATTTTTATTAAATTGATTATTTCGGGTAGTATGTGTACACATTTGTCACAACTTACCCTTAGGATTTCCACAATGTAAGAGTTCATGTCACGACACGGTTCCCCAACGCCTCCTCCGTTGAATAATGACACTAATAATAATTTCAATTCTCAGTGCGTTCGCGTGTACAAAACACTTACTATCATCATAAAGAAAAAATCACAAATGTAAAGGTGACAAGATAAATGTGGAGACATAGAAAATCACGATTTTTTTTTTTTTAGAAAATGTTTACCACGAAAATTGCTATTATTGTGTGTATAAAAGCATTCGTTTTTACCTTCTTGGTGTTTTGTTTATAGTTTATGAAAAAACATACACGATTCACGATATGAGCAAATAAAAGTTTGTAGCGGAAGCCGTAGAGAAAAATGAAACATAAAAAAACGCTTTGTTTCCACAGTCTTTATTTTCTTCACAAAATAAGCGTACCGGAATAATATTATAACTTTTTCTGACCTGTAAATCTTGTATGCTCTTGACATCTGACGTATCGAAAATACGTACAATTTTCTCATGCTCTAAAGCATTATAATAGTAACACGTGTTAGTAAAAACTTAAAAGAAGTCATAATATTAATGCAAAAAATTGCTACATAACGCCTCAAGTAGCTGCTGCTCCCTTTGGTTACCACTGTATCATCTTTCTTCTACTAGCCCTTTGACGATCATACGGTTTAGTGGTTTGTACGTAATTCACTTTTATCTTCTACTATATACATAAATATCCATCTTAGAAATATTTGCTATTTTTATTTTTCGTACATATAGCTCAACGCCAATTCAAAACAATAAATAATCATCCTAGTAAAGTTTTTCTGTTCTTTCATAAAATAAACTAGAACTTAAAGAACAATTATTTTTATCCAATTGTATAATAATGTAAAATTGTGAATATTTTTGTCAAACTCAAAACATTATCTATTTTTATGATTATTTGTGTATATTAAATACAGTCTTATTATTTTAACTCATTGGTAGAAATTAAAGTGGCTTAAGGATGGTTAAATCTCTTAAAGTTAAAAAAAAATAGAAGCAGCCTTCTGAAATTTCTTTTCAAACTTGCTTTTTATTATATGATGACGCTTTTTAAAACGTGTTTGATTATTTAAGTTGGTTTTAAGTCCAATTGATATTAAACATTTTTTTTTAATCCATCCAAAATATTAATTTTTTTTTAACTGTTATATTAAAACAAAAAAATGTCAATTAAATATAATGTATTTGTTATTGTTTAAGTATTTTTATCGAAACTTTGCCCTTCTAGTTTTATTTTATTCGTATTGAAGCGAAAAGTGAACTTTCAGATGTCTATGTGTTTAATCGACGGTATTACATATAACACGTTACCTTGAGATAACGAACTCCAGATATTCCTCCTATCTGTCTGTTACCTATGTAACCATCTATAATTAATAATAGGCACGCGCTTATTACTGTTGTCTGCAACGTGATAATTATTACATTGAGCTCGTCAAAAGATCATACAAAAGGAATTACACCAAAGGGCTTTACAACGATTGTCTTTGCTTTCTTTGCGATTCTAGCCTGCGCAACATAATATATTATTATTGTTATTGTTAAAAGTCTTCTCACAAGTGACACTATTGCCACCATTATAGAATTGTCTTGGGATGGTAAAACTAACATTAAGCAAATTGAACTTTATGTGCTGTTGTGTTTCTATCATGTTATACGACATCTAGAATTTATTAAACAGAAAAAGTGTTTTAAAAAAATTTCTGAGAAAATTTATTTTAATTATTGTAGACAATATAAAAAGTTATATAAAAAATTTTTTTTTTTTATCAAAAATTAGCCTAATTTGGAATCTAAAATTTAGATTGAGATTATTGTAATATTTACAAATAGTGTATTTGCAAATAATGATGAAATAGTTATCAAAGAATTAAGTAAATTATATAGTTCAGTTATGTAGGATCCTAATGGATCATTGTCTTAATACACCCATTGCTACTTGGGAAGCATAAGACTAGGGGTTAGGGAAGTTTGGTTATCGAGCGTCAATCGAAGATATCAAATCTATATTATGCCTCATTCAAAAACTGAAAAAGTATTAAGCAATACGCATAAAATAACAATGTTGTTTATGAAAATAGGATTGAAATTACGAACTAGAGAAGCGGTTAACTTGACCATTATATTGGAGGGAAACAACGTACGATTAATAGAACTTTATTTTCATGTTGGTTATTAATATTTATTACAATTTTAAGTCGTATCTATATTCTAAATTAGTTTTTAAATTGTTTATTAGGTAAATAATTTTAAAAATTAACTATCTCATTTTTTTATTGTTACTCAAAATACTAACTAAATATTTTTGTTATTTTTTAAGACGTTCTTTTATCGTCTTTGCCCATGGTCAAATATTATCAAAATATGTATGTTTTGTGTAGTCGACTACGATAAATGGAAAAAGTTCAAAAGGGGAAAAAGGGCATTTTTTCAATTTTCTTTTACAATGGATATCGTTTTACGCGTCACAGGCTATTTTCGTATTCTCGTCATCGTTTTTCTCTTCATCCAATTTACTGTACTCTATATTCTTGTTTGTCCTTGAGGTGGACATCGTCTTCTTAGCTATTGTTGCGAGTGAAAAACTTGAAAACTAAATTCCTGTTATGGAATGTTCAGGGGCAACCCTCTCTTCTCTTATTTCATATTTTTTGTGTGTTGTGATTTATCTCATTATTTTTTAATACCAGGTATTTGAGAACTCTGTCCATTTATTAAGTTGTGACTGGGAAACTTTTTTGTTATCATATAGTGGTGGCTAATCACATGGTTGATTAGGTTTTTTGTAAATTTTTGTCCCGTTGTAGTTTTACAAAACAAACAGTTAAAATCGTGTAATATTTATAATGTTATGACATTGTTTTCCATTTACACTTAACTGCTTGAGTTTAATTTTTTTCTTTTGAATATTCATTATTTATAAAATAACATTATTTTCTAAGTATCTACGAATAGTTAATCAATAGTCATATACGGCAAATATATTGTCCACAAAAGTACTTTTAGGCGCATATGAGTCATATGAAATTGTTATAAGTCTTGTAAGACTACATCGGTAGTAATTTTCAATAATTTTCTCAATATACTGAATGTTTTAAGGTTTTATATTATAACTAGATTTTTTACCTAATGGATTAAGTTCTTTTATTAGATTATAGTCTAATATGCCTAATTATATTTTGGCTCTAAATGTAAATATTTTCTTTTTTGAGCTGTAATTTTTCTATTTTAATTTGAATGATGAAACTTTCGTGATGATTGGCAAAATTAGTGTTCATATATATATATGTTTTTTAAGGTAAGAATATATTGATATGCTTCAGTGTCGTTTGGACTATTTGAGTGACTTAGAATGCTTAGTTTATGTATAACATCACTAATTTTGTTTGATATGATTAACATGCGCACTACAAATAAACAAACATTAATTACCTCTTAGCCATTTTTGGATGAGTCACGTGTGAAATAATTATATAAACACTGTTTATATAATTATATTTATGTTGTATATGTTATAAGAAATACCTAGTAGCAATAAAAAAATTATTTTTCGAATATTTAATATGAGTAGTAAGTGGTACGAAAATTTTTTTCTGTAGTTCTTTATATTTACAGCTGTGTTCTTGGATTTTATTAAAGGATTTCTATATGGTTTTTATAATTGTATTTACTAGTTGTTATATGATTTTTTTTTTCATTTTTTGTTGACTACACACAATTAAGGATGATGAAGAAAACCAATCAACAGGTATAGATAGTGACGTTTGTCTACGATCGATCCATGTTAGCAACAGTTAGTCGATTGTTGCTTTTAACTTGAACAGTAGTTGTAGCAACTGTTGCTTTCTTTAATTGTTTGTGACATCTCGCCTCTTAAAACTATGCTTATTGGAATTCTTCGTTTAACTCTTCTACAAAAACAGAGTTATTATGTAACTTAAGTTAGTTTCTGTTAGTATAGTTTTGACTGTCTGTTGATCAGTTAACCATATGTCTCATGCCTGTCACGAACTCCTAAAACAATTGGTCTAATACCTTCGGGGTAAAGTAGAATGTTTTCATACAGTTGTCTTCTATCTCTACTTTATGTATTAAAGAAGATTTTTGCCCACAAGACAAAGTGAATGGTTCTGGGCATCTTAAAGCTCTCTTGAAGTGTACAAAATGTGTTCTTGGAATACTAAAATCAACCCTCTTCTCTCTCCATGAAGTGTTTTACTATACTTCTGTCACGATCCGCACATCAATTCATCTGCGGTCACGCGTTTTGAAAGTTTACTACCCTTATTGTCCACCTGTGCTGTGGACCACTCTTTGATTGTTGTTCTCAAAAAGCCAGTTTTCGATATTACTAAACTTCAACAGGTGTGGTGGAATATTACTGTTTATTATACTTTACTTTTAAAGGTCATCAATAGTTTAATTTGAACTTACGCTTGGTCCAAACAATATTTTATAATGGTCCCATTATAAATTCTCAACAAATTAGGGCAAACACTTACTTTGTTTTACTAGTAAATAGTCGTATTTTAAACTTTGTTTATGATTGTACGCAAATTTGAGTTAAATTTTTTTATATACCTTTTATAGTTATAAGATTTTTCTTACTCATATTTAAAAAAATTACTTTTAATTTTATTAAACTAAACATTTTTTAAGACAATTAGAAAAATATTTCAACATTTTCGTATGTATTCAAGTAAAGAATATGTGTACCATAAAGTTTTTCGTTTTATAGCATGCGTATTGTATATTAGACCACATGATTGAACGCGATGAAACTTTTCTATGTAATATCACACCACTGAATCAATTTTCTCGAAGGATAAGACTTTTGAATGAAAAGCGTATATCGAAATTCGCGTAAGGGATAAAAGTAAAACCACGGAGAAACAATGAGGATTTGTTAACAAATTGGAATTGGATTATCTTAGGTTTCGTTTAGTATACAGAGTGATTGTTTAACTATCACTCACACAATAACTTCAAAAATATAAAACTTACTATAATTTTTCCTTTGAAGATTATCCTACGTTTTATAATTATCAAAAAAAAAAGAAGAATTTGATTTAATTTTTAAAATGTTTTTATTTTAATTCAAATAACAAATTTAGATTATACAGGTAATTATTTTTATATCTCTCGATATCTCTTAAAATAATTATTACTTTAAGAAAATTCTTTTTGGTGTTTTTTTATTATATATTTCTGAATTTATTTATTATGAAGTTTTTCTTAATAGCAACACACATATCAAATTAACTCGTAAAATGAAAAATTATCTAATTAATAAAATTACTGGAAACATTATTTGAAATGTTATTAACAATTAAAGCATTGACTGAAGGTAAGTTGTGGGTGGCTATAATTTTTATCGTTACGCATTACTCTGCAGCGCTCTTTCTCCACTCATATTTAAAAATGTTAATAACTTCCGAAGTACTATTTCAAGAGTTGTAATCGATCAGTCATTTTTTAAGTTAACCTGAATAATAGCTGAAAATGTATTAAATAAACACAATATTAGTATAGTATAAGATTTTTAACATTGTAGTAAGCAATTTAAAATTCTTAAGTATAAAATAGTAATGTCACATAAAGGGAAAACGCAGGATAAGCAAGTTAACAATGGTGGGAACAAGAATAGATAAAGAAAGACGAGATAAGTAAAGAAGGATTGTCTATTTTAACAGGGAACGTTTTGTTTTCGGTGAGAACAATTAAGCGCGTGAAACTTTGTATTTCGTACATGATTGATTTTATTTTGTGTTACATTTTTGTACTATATTTGTTTTTTGTGTTTCTTACATATTGTAAATAATATATAACTGCTCGAAACTTACACTTTGGTTAAATTGTTCATACCCGTCGTGTTTTTTAAATGCGTGTTTGTAATGCGCCTAAAATCAAGGTTGAACTGTTGGTTTTTTAATCAGTCTTGACGGTTAGTGTGTATGCTGGTTAGTTTTTGGATTTAACCGTATTTTTACGTGGGTTTTAGTAAAAAGGAAGTTGTGCTGGTGGTTGACAAGGAGTCATCCTGTAGTCTACTACTTTTGTGTTAAACCATGCTGAATCTGTCGTGTAAAAATTATCCCTTTAGCGGTTCACTAACTGAAGACATTGGTGCTGATCAGTGTACCATTAGGACGACTCGAGAAGAGCCAAAACAACAAGTTTAACGTTGAAAGTGTCAACTAAATTTGTGTACTTATTTTTGTGTCTACGTCGTGGTAATACAAAGGAACGTCAATGTGTATCTTGTCATTTATTAAAAATACATTGATACCCTCTTAAAGTATTAGGGATGTATTAAAAAAAAAAAAATTGTAATTGATAAATTAAGAAACATGTGAAACTAAAAATTTCCAAAATTAATTTTCTTAACACAATGTTATCATAATGTTTTTATAACGTTACTATAACATTATTATATTGATGTTATAAAAATGTTTTTTAATATTATTTTTTAAAATTATTAACTGGGAAATTTAAAAATAGTAATTTTGTATATTATATAATCTAAATTTGGTATGATACTGCGCTCTTTAAGATTTTACAATATTTTAAAATAATGAAGTGTTTAACCGAATTCAAAATCTCAGCAATATTTTTAATATCACGTGATAATTTTTTATCGTGATATTTTTTATTTAACCAACATAGCGGACAGTACTTTACAATAAAGTTAAATCCTTTAAAAGTTTTACAAAAAAAATCTAAAAGAGAAACTTTTCAATAACTGTTGTGTGAAGAAAACTTCTGTTCCATTAAGATTAACTTGGTCTTGGAAGTAAAACCAAGACGATTTAATCCGGTACTCGATCCTTTTACGTTTTTAGCATCAAGGTTTTTTTAATTCATCGTTTTTCATTAGAGATAAATGTTGACTTAAGAAATAAATTCCGAAACATTTCCCAAAAAACTTTTATGTACTGTAACCATTGATTCTACTTAAATTTATTGAATCCAAAATACTAAATATACGTTATTTTGTTATGACATTTTTTTTTTGAATAAGTACACTTCGTAAATGTTGTATGTCTATCAATAAACATAAAAATCAATTTTGATACAAAAAATCTTTTTAATCTTATAATAACTGCACGAGTACTCATGTTTCTTTCACACAAATCGTCAATAAAAATTAACAGTTTAAGATGTGAAATCAGATATTGACGGACAAAAAGAACCTGTCATAATGAAAAACTGTAACTTCGTATATTTTAAGTAACTTATAAATTTAAGATAAGTATAAAAAAGTTTTGTTACATAAATTCTCAACCAATGAAACTAACTTCAAAATAAACGAAAGATCTTCATTAAATGTCAGTTATCAACATTGTAACTTTGAGTATTATTTTTTACAAAGTAAAACCCATTCGACTAAGTTGTAAATGCCCTAACACTTAACAATAACAATAAACTTCATAAAGTTTGAATAAAAGCTGTAAGTAAAATGTGTTTGTTTGTCAAAAAAGGTTTTTTTTTATGAAAATATATTGAATTTTCTTTTTCTTGACCAATTTCGGCGTTTCTCAATTCTCTGTTGGGATTTTCATGTCATTTCTCAATGAAAAATATCAAAAAAGTTATGTTAAGTATTTGGAATAACAACGTGTTTTTCAAAAATGGTAAAATAAAAAGTCTTTGGCAAAACTAACTTCATATCATCTATTGTAAGGTTGTGTAAAAAAAAAGGGTTGAAAATATATGACGTAATGATAAACGACTCAGCTTTTATTGTAAATTTTTTCCCCCAAGACATCAGTACTACCATGTCTAAATAGAATGTGTTTGTAGAGATGAAAGATGTCTAAAAAGTTTTGTCACCTATTGTCAAGACATAACACTAACGGACAATAGGCATTGGATTAACAAAATTTCTATAGAAAGTTTATGCATATTGAGAGGGTGAGTAAAAGGTACAGCAATCATTTATTAAATAATTTTCATGCATATAATATGCACTAGTCTAATTGATATTTGATTGATCTCGGTGGTGTAATATATCGTATAAAACTATTTTTAGTTTATCTTTGTATTGATTTCCCACCAATAAACCTTTAAATCGCAATGAAAAACAATATAATATTTATTATATGTTTGCATTCGTAACATTTATCATTTTTTTCAACCCGTAAGTTAGTTTGCAACTCTTTTTCAACATTTTTCACGTCATTCGCTATTTTTTTTTAGTGCTTAAATTTTTTCAACTCTTGATCTGACTATTAAATATATTGCGAAGTAATTAGGATGGTCTTTTTCCTTCGATCATGTCTTCTACATAGTGCTGAATAGTTCCTCTAGATATATCAGTGTGTGTTCCATCATTTTTAATTTCTCATATATTATTTATTTGATATTATAGCTTTATATTTGGAATATCTCAATTTTTTATTTTATAGTCTTTTAATTTTTTGGGGTTAACGAATAATTTTTATTTCTTTATAGTGTGTTTTAAAGTAAAACTAACGTTAAAGTTTTCAGCTAAATATTTATTAATATAAAAATCCAAAATGATGGAAAATGTCATTACGTATTTTACTGGGTAAAACAAAAGTAAAAAAGAATTTAATTATGTAATTTTTTTTGAACATTTACTTAAGCCAATTACTCGGCTTGTGTAATCTATGTTGACTATCTATTAAATTTGTACAAGTACTTTGTTTTATAAACCTTTTAAAACCTTATTTATTTGGTCAACTATTTTGTTATAATTCAATTATGGATTGTCCGACGTTGTTGTTTTCATCTTTCCCAATTCAAATTTATACTATACAATCTCTTGCATTTATTTCACTAATGAATCAAGTTACCCGGAAACCTTTTCGAATTATGAACATTATAAAGGAAATTTTGTATCACTGGCGGCAAGTATTTCCTTGTGTTTGCTGTTGGCCATTCTGTGCAATTACAGTGCCAATGTAGCTAATTGAATTGCCACGATTTAGAATTTAACTGTTTGTCATAGTCTTTGATGTATATAACGCAATCTTTGGTACTCTCAACGAAAATTCCCCTCGGGAATCATCGTTAAAACATTTTGTCTTATCTTATGTCGAAGTTGGTTACAGTTGTTGAAATTTAATAATCAACATTTTTTTTATTTATGTTTCAGGCTTTTTTAGAGATGGCAGATGAAACTTCGGCATCAGCCATGGTGACTTATTTTACTACTTGCACTGCCCAGCTCCGTGGACGAGCAGTTTTTATACAGTTTAGTAACCATAAAGAACTAAAAACAGACCAAACCCATAGTAACGCAGTAAGTGTTTTATGTTGTTATTTGTAAAGTAATTATGAGAATAAATCTTTAAAATATTTTATAGTAATACTATAATAACTATGACAAATACGAGTATCTATAAAATATTGTAACAGTCCATTTATAATAATTTATTTATAAATATAACCCACATAAAGCACAATAATTTGAACGATTTACCTTTAAATTTTAAAGACTCCAATACGAATGTTTTTTTTTATTTTGTCAACATTATGTAAATCATTTGACAGCGATTGGCAACAACGTCGAGAGTATTTTTCTATTATTTGTTTAATCCCTACTATTATCCGTTTTGCGCATATTAAGTAAATTAATTTTATTTTTCTTCTCTTTTGAACATTTTAATTGCTAAATGACATAAATTAAAAAATGAATAAATCTACATAGTTTAAATGTGCTAATTGGTGTGTCCAATTTAAAGGCTTTTTTACTAATCCAATAAGGTTTTTGATTACTACCTTCTTCGGATTATTCTTAATTGTTGGTCTTAATGTTTTCAAATTTTTTAATTTTTTTATCTAAACGGTTATTAAATATTAAAACAAAAAGAATATAATATCAATAATAAATATTAACAAAAATGTAAAGATTTTAATTTGGTTTAAATTATTACTTGAGTATCTAATTTAGCATCCAAAAAATCTAATTTTATTATTATTTAAGTTCTATATCCTAAATTTTAATAAAACTGGGCTTATATTATAATTGATAAATTGTCTCTTGGGGATGAAAGGCGTAACATCTCATATATTTTTTACCAAAATGAGTAATTAGTATTTTTATATATTTTGAATAATTTTTTTTTTTTTTTTTTAATAAGTTGTTACGTGTTTTTCTTAAGCAACGAAATGTAAATTATAGTAACATAATAGCAAATGGACCATTATAATTTAAACTTAATATTAATGAATAAAGTTTTAATTTCATAGAACATCACGTTTTATAATATTAATAAAATCATTTGACTAATGTGTTATATGTAAAAAAGTAATATTCGTTGATAAATGTGTGTGTACAAAAACTGCATCTATTCCTATCGTTAGAATTGTACTACTAAATAGCGTTCAAAGGAGGATGAGAGATGCAATAACACCAGAACAACTAGAAATGGCTGCTAAAGCTCGCTTGAAACTTTTAACGAGCTTATTACGAGTTAAAACCTTTTTTATAACCACTCGCTCCTTTGCCAACTTTCATCACGTTTCATATTTTTTCAACGTCCACACCACCTCAGGTAAACTGTATTCCGTAGGTTTACTACCCCTTGTCTGTATTTAATTTCTCATTTACCATAATGCACGGTACATCTGGGAACAGTTATAAAATAAACATTGCTCAACACTATCATGTCATATGTATTATGCTTTACTATTCAGATTTTGAAAAGTCATACTAATATATAAATATATTTTGAAATTTGTTTATTAGTGTAAATTAATTTACAGTAACTGCTGTTGTTAGACATTAAATAATTGTCTAGTTTTTACTTTAATGATTAACTATTTTTTAATTCTGTACAATTTTGTTTAATTTATAAATAATTTATTCGTACGGTAGTAATTCGTAGTAACAAAATAAATACGACTACTTAAATAAATATACACTGAAGTATTTCTGTAATGCCAAAAAGTCATTATTTACAAAGTTTATTTAACTATTGTAACAAAATGTACATCATATGATGTATATTATGCGTATAAATTAACTGAATAAATAAATAAGTAAAAATCGATAATAGTATTTACACTACTTACTGATATTTGTAAATAAATATTTAACATGTACCTATAGTACAACACTATAGTATATACGCTAATATATCTGTGTTTATTTAATCTAAGGGTCTACTAATGTACATTATATTTTTTAACTCTCATATAAAAACCCTGTGTTGCATCATAAATCTTGAAATCCCTCGCTTGATATTATTAATTGGTAATTATAAATGAAATTCTCAATAATATAGTAAATGGTTTCATACAGAAACGAAACTTTTCATTAAAATGAAATATTTTTTCTCTAAAATTTACTCATTATATTTTTTGTTTGTTTTTACAGACATCATAAAACTTAGTCGTAATTAAACACAAAGCGTTTTGACTAAATTTTGCTAAATTAACCTTAGAGATCAGCTTTTAATGACAACTTTCAGTTACTCGAAATAAAAAGATTACGCTCTTAGAAAGTATTATGTTATAAAAATATATTGAGTACAAGATGCTGTCTTATGTTATGACTCATGATAGTTCGCGAAAAAAAACTCGAGCAGTGTTCTTTATATTTTTACACGCAAATGTACATATTTTTTGAAATGACTTTTGAAGTAGCTGAATGTTTCTTTTAAATTAAACAGGCTTGTAAAATTCTCCACAAAAATTAAATTTATATTTATTTATAGTTATTATTTTATTTGAAAAATTTATTTGTTAAACAACATCATAGCTAATCGACGAAACAAATTTCTAAAAATTCTAAAATATTTTCTCTTAAGTGTATATTTAGTGGTGCAATAAGGAATTTAATCAAAGAGTTGAGAAAAAATAGGTAATTTTAAATTAGTATAAAATTTAATTCAGATAGATCACAATTCCGATGGGTCTTAGACTCGCATTTCTGTCCAAGCAGACATTTTTGTAAAGTATCAGTATTGACATCGAGTGAAGTATTGCACTAGTACTGGCAAATGACCATTGGCTATTCCCTACTAGCGTAGCACTAGTGCAGTACTGCACCAATACTGGCATACATCTGGAATGATAACGCTATTACGTATTCATATATCAGTACTGAAGGTTTTGTAAAACCAAAATTACGCCAGTTTTATGGCAGCAGTGGCGGCGACTAAGTACTATCTGCCTATCAGTACTTAGAGAACAGGCCAGCTAGTTTTACGCTAGTGAGGACTAGCCAATGGCTAGTTGCCAGTACTGGTGCAATGATTTGCCTGTTGTCAATACTGGTACTGAACAAAAATGTATACTTGGGATTTGTAAAATAATCGATATAATCGACAGTGCCAAGAATGATAAAATAAGAGAAGAACATCCGATTGCTTTTCAAAGAGCCAAAAAATTTTCAAAAATTACTACTAAGGTTTTAGAGAAATGAATTTTTAATTATTATGATGATAATTCATGCAATTATGAATATTATTAGATATAGTTTCAAATGGCGATAGTACTTACAGACTTGTCTTTTAAAAAAATATGGTTACAAGACTTAAGCGTCATTTTAGTGTAGTGTTTACGTTTTTATATTTCCTCCTCGGAAATAATTATTGGACTTCCAAAGGCCTTGTGTCTGTCATCATACGAATTCCAGCTGAAAACTTAATAGCTATTGCTTTCTTTTATGTAAACCATAATGTGTATCCTATAGATACTAAGGATATATATTTTACATTATAAAAATTCACTTAATCGCTCGTGCGTACAATGACTAATGTCAATAAAGTTATCAATTCTCTCCGCCAATGAACGTTTATTAAACGATTTTGTTTTCTTAAATTTTTCGTACTCTTTATAGATGTCTATATGAATTTACCTTTAGTCGTGTCAAATGTATCGGCGTCACTAAATTCGGTGTATCAAAGTTTTATTCAGTTCATCGATCAATTCTATACATTATGTGATCTAATTGTAAACTGAATCTCTGTAACTATATCTCTAGTAACTAATAAATATAAATATGTGCCCATACTTCAGGTTTTTTTTTTTTTTTGTGCACGGTTAGAATAACAGATTATTGGGTTAACCCAATGATTTTTTAGTAGAGTTGTCACTAAATTAACCGTTTATTTTTTCCGTATAATGAAAATGTTTTGTAAAGAAAATCAGGAATACGAAGTAAAAAGGGTTAGAGTAATCCTTTGTTTGGGGTTGATAAATTTAAACAAAAATAATTTGTTACAATTCCGGTTTAATAATACTAGTTTTTTTTCCTTTTTGTTGGTTGTTAGAAATAATCTGTTGAAAATAATGCAAAGAATTGAGAGACTAGTTAGCGAGGCGGTATCGTAATACAAACGTATTAAAGGGAGATACCTGTCAAGAAAATAGCATAACAAACGAAAGAAAAATAATTGTAGGAAGAAATAATTTCTAAATATTAATGAAGTTGATTAAATTTAATGGTCATACTCAATGAAAAATAACATAAAGTGTAACAGTAAATTTTTTTAGGTAAAATTAATTTATCGGGTTTTCTTTTTATATTAAGATCAATATTCATTTAAAGATAGTTCCTTTGATAACTCCGTGCCCGGCAAATAGCACCTAGTACTAACGCTGATCGCGGTTGTAGGTGAAAATCTGTTCGGAGAGAAACCCACATAGACAATAAAGTTCCTTTGATAAATTTGTTCAAGTTAACATATTTCTTTAATTATCATATGTTATTTGATAAAAGAAATATTTCAATTTCAACAATACGATTTATTTTTGTTTGAAATTTTGTTAATGCTTTTGAATGTAATACTCATTTACCACCTACACTTTTGGACAATAAGTTGTGAGTCTTGAGCATATGGGCTCTACTAATCGCTGTTCGAGTATTAGGATGTGTGTTCGGTTGTACTAGTAGTGATGCTTTCAAAAAGGTATTTGACAAGAATGTCGTTTGGATTAATAGTGACATACCCTAGCAGACAGGTTGAGTAATTACACCCGACCGACCACGCGAGAAAGGACGACTCCCTTTTTACAACAAATCCCTCGTGTCCATAAGATGCCGAGTGAACTGACTAATGGTCCAACAGTATTCTCCCCTTTCGCGAGATTTCGAATAAAACCAGACGTTTACAAGTGCCATTTATAAACGTCTGCGAGGCACAACATATGTGTAACGTGTACTGTATTATTGCGTGTTCGTCATGAGGTTTTTTGAACAAATCCGTTGGCTTTTCATCGCTTTCAAATCAGATGACATATTGTTATGCATGATGAGGCAGAACTAAAATTGTACTTTGCAAATAATGTGATATTTTGACGCCTGTAAAATATTACCTGGTCTTGATTCGTGGTTTCGTTCGCCATACATAGCTGAACATCATCTCAGACTAATATTAATGGACGTTTATTCCCTATATATATATATATATATTAATAATTCACCGTGCAGAATTCTTTACCTGTATGCTATAGAGTGCTTTAATGCAGGAAGCGAAATTGCAATATTTTCTCATAACAAAACCCGTCGTCACTATTGGCCATTTATCATAAATGTTTTAATTTGTTTTTCAGAACGCGTCAGCCCAAGCGGCTCTCCAAGCAGCTCAGGCGCTAGCTGGTCAAAGCGATGTACAAGGTGGACCAAATACTGTGCTCCGAGTCATCGTTGAACATATGGTATTCCCTATCAGCTTAGACGTCCTTTACGAGGTATGTATTTAGGCGATAGAGTTACTGTCAAAAAAATATGATATTGAGTTAGGTATCTATCTTATTGTAAACATTGCGTACAATTAGATAATTAACTAATACATTTAAATAGTTTCTCTATAAAAATATCCTGAAAAATAAATTGTCTATTATAATAAATGCAATACGTTTTTTATATTGGCTGTCTTAAAAAATTTGAAAAATGATAACGGCAAGTTTTTACCTATTACTCTACAATCGCAAGCACTTGATATTAGTATTTGTTTGATATTTTTACTAGCTTAAATATGATTTATTGATATTAGTTTTGAGAAAATTAATGTCGTCATACGCGTGCTAACAGTGGGATCTGTTCATTATTAAGTGAACATTCAATTCATGTTTTGTTTTTAAAACCATGGCAGGTTTATCATAAATAAAATACTATATATATATATCATATATAAAATGAGTTTTAGATAATTTTTCAATTTTTAAATGTCTCTTTGTCCGCTGTTATCGCCTGGCTATTTCAATTCCCAAAGGCTAACAATTGTGTAATTATTTTACATTAATTATTAATTGGTCAGCTTTTGTTTTTTTTTTTACATATTTATTAAATAAAAACGCGATTACATTCAATTTTTTCATCTATTCCTTTTGATAGTGGTATAACTTTATTTTAACAAAAATACGAAAAGCGTTACATTAATAAATCGATAACTATAGTCCATGTTAATCGAAATATTTTTATTCGTTTAACATTGTGTAAACTGTTTACACAAAATTTTGGATAAATATTGTGTGATATACGTGCATTAGTACTTTGGCTCGAGTTAATGCTGATTAATTTCATAAACGAAATCCTAAAATACAACAAGCTATTAACAATATAAAAGACATTACATTTATTGACTGAACATTTTTAAGTGTATACCATTTAGCTAATAAATCTATTCTTGAATCAAAATAATTCTGTTTTTAGTTGTTTCAGTGTTAATTTAAGTGATAATAATCGATTCTGTATCTTGTTTTTGCATTTTTATAGATTATTTAACTTTTTTTAATATTAATTATTATTTTTTATATATCTGTAAATTTATATATCTTCAAATATTTAAAGGAGTATGATTTAAAATTTGTTTAATCAAAATAAATATATAAATAATTATAAATGATACCAAAAATTACTGGATATGTGATATAAATTATAATTTTTTAATTAAAAATGAATTTTTGTTAAATTATATGTTTATTAGCTATTGAGACGTAAATTTTCATTGAAAACAATAATTGCCTCAATGACATGAAAAAGTCCAAAAAAATAAAGATTTCTTTTTATCGTGAATTTCATAATGAATGAATACATATCCTAATAATCTAGTGAAAAAATAAATCGTTTGTGTATAGAATAAAAATTATATTGAAAACAAAAAGATACTTGTTTTAAGTCTACACGGTTCTGATAAACTGTTTTTTCCTTCTCCACCAAATTTTAGTTTTTGTGACCTAGTACCTTTCCCATATAATACTTAAATTTGTTTTATCAAACCACGGCCATACATCTATGAATTAATCTAAATTAATTCCGTAATCGTTTATTGTTAGAAAAATTTAAAAGTAAAAAAATCAAATGAGCTATTTGCTTTAAAACTGCATAAATTACCATTATAAGTAGTTTTACTTAAGTTTCAGTCTTATACTTACTAAATGTTTGAAGTTTTCTTAACTAAATTATTATAAAATTATACAAACTTTAAACGGTATGAACGTTGGTTAAACGTGGTTTTAAAAAGTTTTTTTAGAGGTATAGTTATAGTATATCTATAAATATATTTGATTATTAATAAAAAATAATAAAAGAAAACTATTTTAAGTTTGAAAAATATCTTTAAAAATTGTTAAATTTAAATAATATTTTAAAGTAATAATAAGACCCATATGAATATATCTTATTTTTTTTATATTAATAGTTTTTGTCAATTTTAATGCATATGTAATTTGAACAATGTGGAAAAAATTATTTTAGTATCTACAAACTGACTTATGTCATTTTCATCCAAAATATTTGAAATATTTTCATCTTCTTCTTCCTCGCCTATTTGAAATATTTTCATAACTTATTCAATTGTTTTAATTTAATTATAAGTATGCAATTTATTACTAATTTAAGTAATTTTTATTTATATGTTATTCGAGATGTATATTTTACAAAACAACTTGAAGTATCTTTCAACTTGCTTAATCATAAAATTTTCCTCAACTTAATCCAAATTAGACGTTTTTGAAACGTTATTAAGGAATTATAACTATTGTATGGTTAACAGTGTTTTTGTAGTTTTCATAATTTTTAACAATGAAGCTTGTAGGTCTTATAATATATTTTGAGTGTTCTAAAAAACACAATGTTTTTTTTCTTATAACCTATTCTATACCCCAACTACGCCGAGTGAGTATTATGCTATCAAACTGCACCATCTTTAAATAAAAAGCTATATCATATCAAATCATGTTTTGTGTATTTGAAGGTACCACATGTACTTTTATTTTCTTATATTCAACATGTATGTATGTATATAGTAGCATTGTACACCAAAGCTACGATCTAATATAGTTCATAAAAGTAACAATCGAATATTTTTGAAAATTCTAGTGTATTAATAAAATAATAGTCTTTTTAGAATTAGTATTTAATGAAAAATACTCGCTAATAAATAACACTCATAAAGTTTGCTATTCATTTCGTTATCTAACCAATATGAGAAAGAAATGTTTTTAACTCATTCATTAACAAAACTAAAAATTTATTACACCTTGATAAATAACTGTCAAACATCTATGTATTTTAAATGTCAGTCCCGAGTTAAATGTAAAACACATGCATTTATTTATATGATAAACAAATGTATATTGATGAGGTTATCCTTTATCATATATTTATATATTTTCCAAGAGGTGTGATAAATTCAAGGGGGGAGGTAGTGGAGGTGAACGAGTTAATAAATTTAGCAATGCTCTCAGTGTTTTCCTTAAAAACAACTATGGACTGATGCAAGAAGAGCTTATAGGGTTGGTCTGTAGTACCTCTTAACCTCCGTGAAAATAGGATTAAGTTTGCTCCCCCCTTGGTTCATTCTCTCTTGTCACCGCTGCATACTTGCTACTTTAACTGGCTCGACGGTTTCGGTTACACTTCAGTTATCGCTATACATTAGTTCGTTTTAAAAGTATTCTGAGCTCTTAAAACTTTCGCTACCCCATCCACTGGTTTCCTTAACTTCTCAAATCTCTTACTTCCTCTTGTTGTATTATTTCGTATGTAAATCCGCATTTAAACGACGGCGTTTCAATTCTCTGGATCGGCGAGACAGTCAAACCGTCTTAATTCTCTTATATAATTAGTGCTGGTTGTAGAGCTTGCAGGCGTTTTTCATATCTACTTGTTTTCTAATTTTTTTATGTTTTATTATTATATCTTTTGGACAATCGCTCAAGTATGACTCCCTCTAACCATTCACTGAAATCTTACTACTACAAAAAATAAAATAAAAAAAGAGGGCAAATGTAGTTAGTAAAGTACCTACTTGCTGCTTTTGTTTTTAGCTGATGGCGCACAACGTTGAGTTACTACGCACCATTGGTCCGTAAATATGCGCTTAAGAAAACTTAAACTCTGTGTTTCTTTATCCAGTTATATTTTATTTATAAAGTCAACGGGTTGTTCATACAATATTCTGTATTTCTATACTATTTGTAAACAAAATAATTGACACATTGACAATATGAAAATCAAATTCACAATTTATAATACAATTTATGTTAAATTTGATTTGAAAAATTTTATGTCCTAATCTAATTTGAATTTTTCTAATAAACTTAATTTTATAAATGCCTTTTTGTAGCGTCGAAGCTAGTTATTATCTTAAACTTAATATACTATTACCAAATTACTCGAAAATTGAACACAATTTCACTAACTACATTTTTTGTGTATTTTAATTGAAATATTAAATTTTCATTAAAACGTTCAAAAGGAAATATATGAGAAAACGTTGCGACGATAACTTCTATTTACTAGTTTAATAAATGCATCTAACTGAACTTTGTTTTTCTTAGTATGTTGTAACTATCTTCTTGTTTGTTTATCTTTAAAACTACTCTTAAATCTATCCTTAAATTAATCTGCAAGAAGTCAATGTTATAAACATAAGTAAATCCCTTTCTACATAGTTAATTAAATTATCTGTTCAAAGAACGCTTTATGTGAAATGTTTGATATTTATACAATCTTTGATTATTTGGTTTATAATTTATTATGACACAAGATTTAAATAATAACCAGGTTAAATTAGTCGTTGTATACCGAACATCAAACGCCTGCATTTAAATATTAATTGATTTTAATCTAAAAGACCAAATAATATTATGTTTTGTGAGTCTTCCCGGAGGGAGAGACTCTATATAGATGATAACTTAAATATTTTAAGCACGCATGTGTAGCATTTACCTCAGGGGAAATTCATGAAGTGTACATCTTTATGTAGGGAAACCTATTTATTTTACAATTATTATAGCTCGTTATTAATAAAAGAAAGAAGAAAAAGATGATGATATGGTACACCTCTATAGTGATGCGGTACACGCGTCAAAAGTTAATACACAAAAGTTTTCAATTCCTGAAAAGATAAAAAGTTTTGTCCTTTACCCGTGTTAAATAATTTAAACAACATGGGGTGCAAGTATTAGTAGATAGTGCGTATTCGTATCTGGAATAAATTCTCTTGAAAGTTTCTCAATATCTACCGAAATCCTCTACTATTTCAGAGTGTTATGCTCTGCTTGTAATCAATGAAACCAATGAATTATTAACTCACCGTTGATATCTTCGTTGTGCAGTTATACTTAGTACGTCTAAAAAATGATGAGAATATAAGAAAAGTGTTTCTAAAAATGGTAATTTTTCTTTGGCGATTAATAATGAATAAATTATTTATAATATAAATTCTTATAATATAATTCTAATGTATTAAACCTTAAAAATTATGACTAAAATGCATCAATGATATGTTATTTTTAATTAATAGTTTTAAAAATTTTAATTTATATATATATATATATATATATATTGCAATGTTTTTTTATTATTAAATCGGGTATGAACTTTTTTGGTTTAGCCTTCCTATTATTTTCTGGGTTTATATTTTGTAAAATGAATTTTGCGTTAGTAATGGGATTACGTTTCCAATTCTATAGATAGAAAGATTCTCTCCGATAAGGATATGACTTTTACAAGAGGGGAAATTGATGTATCCTTCTTCGTCTCTTTTAGTTGTGTGTGTTTTTTTAATTATAATTGATCACGGTCGATATTTACTAAGGATAATGACGATACAGTATTGAATCAGTCTTGTGTACAAAGGTCCAATTGATAATTTACAACATCTTATTACTTATTCAAAAATTGTTTTGTGATTAAATTTTAATCATGTGATTATTTTATAGTAAGTTATACTTAAAAATATGTACTTAATTCATCAATAATATGACTTAAGTGATTATTTTACAAAAATATATTGATTTTATTCTCTAACCGTTTTTAGAGGGTTAATTTTTATTAAGTTTTCGTACTTAAGTTTAAACTTGTATTTATTATTAAATAAAAAACGACTTTTAAAACGCAACTGTATTGAACTATATTATTAGTAAAATAATTCGCTAGAGGATCTATCTAAGTTAAATAAAATCAGGAAACTTTATTAATTGACTTTTTTGTGCTGTACAATATTTTATTTTTATAACTTATGAAACTTATATTATCATCTATAAATTTGTTATTAAAGTATTCATTTAGCATCAATAATTTATAAATTAAAATCATTTAAAATCATATGCTACAATTTTTTATTAAATAAAAGTTACTTGTTAGTAAAAAAATAAATACGGTATATAGTTTTACCTTCTCATTTAAAACTAATATTAATTTAAACTGTAGTTTGTGGCGTTTTGAAAATAGAACGAATTTTAAGGGTGAAATGATTACGGGCTTCGTCGACAAAAGAGGAGACGTTGCTGTTGTTTCCACCTCATGTTTGGAAAATGATCATTAATCCAAGAGCAACGGTGGCGTTTCCCATAAGGTGTTATTAATATTCATTTAGTATCAAGATTTCACTTGCATCATAGAGAACGCTTAGAATCCCGTTCACGCGTTACTTTTTTAAACATTTTATAGAAAACGTTTTGCCCTTAAGTCTCGAATACTTCCGTTGAATTGACCTAATATTCACAAAGTATGAATAACAATTATTATAACTAAATTTATAAATGTGAAATATTTATGTCTTACTTGGTTATCCAATAAGAATCGTCTATCATTTTTCTCAAGAAATATCTCAATTTTCTATTAATAAAATATATGTTTACACATACATTTTTTGTGCTTCTATGATGCCAGATTAAACAGTTCAAATTTTTAAAAAAGAAGAAAATTAATTTTACTTTTTTCAGGTAATAAATTATTAAAAACATTTTTTCTTAAAGAAAGTAGTTAAATAAATCATTTTTTTTATTTATTTATAAGATTAATTAGACATATTCTATTTATTTTGAATAAGTTTTAATAATGGATAGCGCTTTATTTATTATACACAACTAGGAACAATATTTTAGAGTTGAATTCAAAATTATCAACAAATAACTAACGTTCAATGAAATAGTAGTAAATATTTAGATATTAAATTTCTTTAAGATAATTGAAACAAAAAAGACTAGCCCAGATTGTGTATCTTGCATAAGAAAACTCCAATAAATATAATGAGAAAATAATAATTATATTTAATTGTAGGAAACTGTAAAAGAAAAATTTTTTAGTGTTAATTCTGTTTTAAAATTTAATTTATTTCATTATGAATAGGTATTATTAAATATACTAACAATCATTATAATTTTTACTTATATTTTACTCAACTAGTTGAAATTTGAAAATAGATTGTGTTAAAGTTAAACAAAAAATCAAAACAATTGTATTTTTGTATGTAACTTATAAATAGTATCTCTACAATATATATATATATATCTAACACGTAAAGTGACTATACATGCTATAGTGCGCTTAAAAAACAATTCAACATCCTGAAAATTGGTTACATAAATCATAACAGCCAGCACCGTCAAACAATGTGTTCTCAACGTCATTTTCCCTCGAGGCGTTTTTGTGTCCTTTATTTATACTACCTACATCTCCTTCCATTTTGTTTCTACTCTTTCGACTTCTATACAATCATAGTATATCCTTATGTATTTAAAGTATCTTCAAAGCACATATAATATATATTGTAGATATTTTTTTAACATTTAATTTTTCTCAAGAACTACAAAGTGTTTTATTTTTAAATCAATTATTATTATTATTAGTATAACTTTAATTATGTTCAAAAATCGTGAAGCTATAAATTATTATTAACGAGACTGTTTCTGTTTTTACAGATCACATTCCCATGGTGGATTTGGGATCATGCTCTCCTTTACTTTTTATTATTTTTACTTGTGCAAAGACAGTAAATAAAATTCATGTGTTAAATTCATTTTTTCCTATTTCTTATAAACATTTTTAGTATTTACTGATCACTATAAGCAATGGCCCAAAAATTCCCATACGCTAATATGATATTTTAATATATACATTAATTACATACATTATAAACATAAGTAGTACAATTTCGACACAAAATATCGAAAATTCATTTTAACATTTTTATCACTGTTTATTCAAATTTTCCCATTAGTTAGTAATTCACATCGTGTATGCGTTAAAAATTTCCAAAACATGAATGTGAAAATTCAAACAGTTTTTTAAAGAATAAATTACTCCATTTTTGATTATAACTTCTTGTTATTTCCACCTCTACGATAGTTTTATTTAGGTTTATTTTTAGAATAGACAAATAGTATCAATTTAATTTCTATGAAATAAAAAATCTTGGGATCATTTTTATTCAATATTTTTTATTTTAATTTTATAAAAAAAATACTTGAACTCCTGTTGAAGAATCCATCCCTAGGGTGAAGAACGATAGGGATTAACCCGCGCCCGTAATGGATTAGTTTACGATGCCGTTAACCTCAAAGGCACATCCTGTTTGAGTCGGTGGCAGGTCAATATTTGTGTTGGTACGGGAAAGGAAGAGAGACTGTGAGAAGTTGTTTTCCGTGTAATTGATGGATGAAAGTTGGCAGATTAAAACTTTTGCACGGCAACCGATCGGTATTCGGGGACCGTAAAGCGTAATTAGATTTGCAAATAATTTAAACATATTAAAATAATTCTAGCAATGCTATAAAAAATAAAATAGTTATTGTAAATAACGATACAGTATGATAATAATCGTAAGAATTTCAATAATTTGTTGTAATATATTACCTACTAACTATTGGATATAATTTTTGTCCTTTGTTGTTTGTCAAGAATTCAATGATGTTTTTTTAGATTTCACCATATATATGAGTTTATTGAAATGAACTTTTATCATTTTTTTATAATAAAAAGTTACTGTGAGCTATACGACCAGTGCAATCAGTATCAAATTAATAAATCAATTAGGGAGAACCTGTGTTACTTTTTCCCCTCATCAATAAATCATTTAATACAATAAATTTCAATTAGTTCAACATCTAACAGCAATATGTTAGATTACTGAAAGCAATGTTTTAGTTTATTGCTACAACGGCAATCCTCTAAGAGTTACGATATATTTTATCTAAAACGAGTCAAGATTTAATAATACTTAAATTTTTCCTCCTTCCTTTTTCAAAAGTTGAATTAAATTGGAAATGTATAACTTTTTACGATCACTAGTCAAAACTTTCGCGTAATTATTCTATTATAATAAAGTAATCAAATCATCACTTTGTGTCAAAATAATCTATTCCCGAAAATAAATGTCATCTCAACATTCTTTATTAACTAACAAAGGGACATAAAAATTGAAGAGAAAAATTTTTAAAAACAAAACTCAATTCCTTTCTAAATATCAGATCACGGGTTACACATATTTTTTTAGTTTACCTAGTATACAACTTTTACACTTTTCTTTAAAGTATTCTTTTAAAATTTTATTCGGTAATTTGCATATAGAAAAACTAGCAGTTGTTTTTAATGTCATAAGTTACCCTCGATGACATGTCGGTATGCATGTTATATTAATATTATAGTTTGTTTAATGATTAAACAAATTATATTAAATTTAAACTTTAGTCTTGCTCTTACTTTGGATATTGAAATTAAAGATTAAAATGTCCACTTAAAGTTTTATTTTTATGTTACAGATATTTTCTCGTTACGGTAAAGTACTGAAAATCGTCACATTTACTAAAAACAGTAAGTATGTTTTTAAACATATATTATTATTATTATTGCGCTTTAATTTTAGGTAATAGACCACTTTTTAGATACTGGTAGAAATGTGCTTTACCTCTTTGACGGGGTGGGAAGGGATCACTTTTATTCATTTATCTTGCATGCTACTGCCGATCTATCACTGTTCTCTCGCGTCTTTGAGAATAAACCTTCACTATGGAAGCAACAACAACGGTCTTCGTCGTCGCACATCAAGAAGTTTAAACTCTATTTTACAATTAATCATATCTTTATTTTGCCCCCACCTGCCGTGTGTAAATGTTGTCGTCGTACATTAATTAACGTTGCGCTACATTACCGCTGTTTAGTACAACCCGCTCAATGCAGTAACTAAAGTTACCACATTTTTCTTTTAATTTTTTAGAACATTAAGTTTTAATTTTTGTATAATTTTTCGCATGCAAAGGTATTTTATGTGTGTAAACAAAAGAAAGTCGTTTAATATATTGCTTATAAAAGGATGAATTTTACCGTATACACACAATGGGAAGTCCCCGTTTAACTCTGTTGTTAACTCAATAGCTTTTTCATTAATTGTTTAAACTTTTTAAAATACCTCAAGAATGATTAATACTAGGCTAATTTATCTTGCAGATTCATTTCAAGTTCTCATTCAATATCCAGATGTAGTAACGGCACAGTCTGCTAAACTGGTAAGTGCACTTATTCTTTTCACAAAAAAAAAAAAATTATATTTATATATTTATTAAAAAAAACTTTTATAATAAAAACCATATACTTTACTTTTCACTATGTCTGAACCCGTAGTCTTTGGACGGACAAAATCTGTTCCATACTGGTCATTTATTTGACTTATCACATTTGAATAACGTAAGTCTACCTTAATCCCTGGTGTTGTTTTACTTTCTATTAGTTCGTGATCTCATTATTTATCTCAAATATAAATATTATGTATTATTATAAAAATAATTTTATTTGTTCTAATCAATTGCGCTGATTTCTTTATGAAAAAGTTAAAAAAATTTTTTTTATGCTTTTTAGTCTTTAGATGGTCAAAATATTTACACATCGTGTTGTAAACTTCGAATAGAATATTCGAAGCTCTCCAGTTTAAATGTAAAGTATAATAATGACAAATCTCGAGACTATACCAATCCAACATTACCTAATGGTGATAACACGGTCATGGAAACTTTAGCAGCTCTAGGCGTCGATTCTGTTGCCGGAAATCAATTATTACCTCATCAGCTTAGCCTGCTATTATCTGGAGTACCTAATGCTACTGGTTTGCCTCAAGCCCGCCGACAACTTACTACGAATGCTGATCATAGTCGTCTTGCAGGTCCGTTTATCAATGATATTCTTATGTTGACCTTTTTTACTTACATATTTTTGGTATCAAATAACGTAATTTTCAATTTGCAGGTAGCCCTGGTATGTTGACTCCTTCCTTTAATGCTGTCCATGGACTCGCATCACCATTAACCACGTCTTTTGGTAACACTCCAGTGTCAAGTATGCCTCTTGGATTTACTTTACCTGGCAGCTCATTAGCTGCTAACACTCTAAGACTTCCTGGTCAGATGACTGGCCAAACATGTGTGTTATTAGTTAGCAATTTAAATGAAGAGGTGAAAATATTAATAATTATGCTTTTACAATTATAATTTTATTATTTTTCATGTTAAAATAAAATAGTAATTTAAATTTCTAATCAAATATTGAAAGTTAAAAAGTTATGATAGTTAAAATTACTAATAATTTTGTTTGTTTTGGTATCACTAATAATTTATACCACAGAATAATTATTATTCTGTTGTAAAGAAAACTTAATATTATTAATTTGTCATAAAATTAAAAAAAATGTATGTATGGATTTAGACCTGATACCCTTAGACAAGTCTCTTTCATATCATTTTTTTGGTCAACTTTAGAAAAGCTTTAATTATTTTACTCATGAACAATTTTTTACAATTATCTTCGCCTTATAGTTCTGTTAAAATTTTACTATTATGCCATATGAATTCTATATAGTAATAACAGTGAAATTACAAAATGTTCATTATTCTATTATCATATTAAAATCAAATGATTATAAATATAGATATTTTATACATTGTTACTGATAATTTTGATATTACCCAGAATGTTTAATATCAACATTTTTAAATCCTGTTAATTAGCTTATCCTTCTATTATATGCTTCCTGTATTTGTCACTCTTCTTCTACCGCCATATATAATATACAAATTATTAATTTATTAACTTTATGTGAATATATATTACCTATTGTTACATTTTTAATGAAAATTTCTGTTTTTTTTTTGTTTTTGGCTTGCCCTTAATGGTGATGCTACTACTACTACTACTACTACTACACTACTACTACTACTACTACTGCTACTCAACCAAAAATACAATCTTTCTCTGTCTAACTCTGCTGCCATGGACACACTATTTAACTCTTTCTACAACAAAAAATAAAAATAAAAATCTTATCGCTTCGTAGATGGTCACACCAGACGCTATTTTCACTTTGTTTGGTAGGTGTAATTATATACTTAACTTTTACTGTTATTTACATTTTCAATTTTCGATATAAATTATTTTATCTTTATCTTATTAATTAAGTAAACTTTGCTAGGCAGATGGAAGAACTTTTATATAAATTAATTTATATTAAGCTAAAATTGATGCTAATTTTGCTGTATTAACTTCCAACTGTCTCGGAAAGTATTATTTATACATTTTAATATTTACATTCTATGATATATTAGTTCTTCATGTTATTGATATCAGGATATGTATTATAATGTTTTAATGTATTTTTAATTTTTTCCATTGTTTCATTTTTATTGACAAATTTATATTTTTTGAAATCCAGGTGTTTACGGAGATGTGCTGCGTGTAAAGATCTTATATAACAAAAAAGATGGTGCTTTAGTGCAAATGGCTGAACCTCATCAAGCTCATTTGGGTAATTTAAAAGTATAGATTGAAAAATGTAGTGGTAAATGTATAATACTCACTTGTGTTTTTAGCCATGCTTCATTTGGACAAAGTTCGACTATATGGTAAATATATACGAGTGATGCAATCAAAGTACCAGACAGTTCAACTTCCTAAAGAAGGACAGCCTGACTCTGGTCTAACAAAGGACTACACTTCTTCACCTTTGCATCGATTTAAAAAACCGGGTTCCAAAAACTACCAAAACATTTATCCTCCTTCATCTACTCTTCATTTATCCAATATTCCGTTAGTATTTATAACAAGCATGTTACAAAATGTTATATAAGCATGTTTTTGAAAGTTAAAACCCCTATTTAAAATTAACTTTAATTAAAAATCTTAATTTTTTAAATTAACCAATATTTATTTATTTTAAATGTTAGGACAACTTTATCTGAAGATTTTTTGAAGACTGCTTTTGAAAACAATGGATTCACAGTTAAAGATTTCAAATTCTTTCCGTAAATTTTTTTTGTTTTTAATAACTTAATAAACAATAATTTTATTATCATTATTAATTAATTACTGTTATTACTGTAGCAAAGACCGTAAGATGGCACTTATCCAAATGGAATCATTGGAAGAAGCTGTAGCAGCATTAATTGTAGGTTTATTTTTTTATCTTAAATTTAGGTAGCCTACCTAGCTCAGCTGGTAATGTGTCATACTATTATACATAGGTACAGAGGTTTGATTCTACTTGGAATCGAAAGTTTATACATTAGAGAGAGTTGGGTTGTTAAGAAATCTTTATCTTCCAAATTTTGTCTACAACACATAATTATATTGTTTGTCAGGAAGGGGTTTAGCTATTATCATTCCCTTGAGTATAACTAAATAATAGTATTACAAATTGTAATCTCCCTATACATTATATATGTATGGCTACTAAAATCTATAGCCATATTAATATATATAATATATATATATATATAATTATTAATGCAAAAGATGCAAACTTTAATGTCATTAAAAGTCAATAATCATTGTTAAAATATATTAAATTAAGTATAAATAAATATTAAATATATTTTAGTTCTTATTGATGTGTTTGATTTATTCACTTGCTATAGGAATTATCAAATATAATTAATTTAAATTCATTTTCCAGAAAATGCATAATTATCGACTAAGCGAACAAAATCACCTACGTGTGTCATTTTCTAAATCTAATATTCAGCCAGATGCTCTAACGCCTAATTAAAGGTTTCTTCTTTAAACTTTAAGTTACTGGACAATGTTGATACTCTGACACAACAGTCAACAATCTTTATAAACACAATTAGGGTGATTTATAAATATTTTTTTATTATAATTATTGTTTCATATTTTTAATGTATTCATAAACAGTATTATTTTTTAAATTTTATTATTATATCATTATTATTATTTGTATTACTATTATTCTGATATTTTTTTTTTAAATTATTAACTTTATATGTTGGTATTTACATTTTCCTCAAAGTATTATGTTTATTTAAAGAGTTATACATATTGATGTTTTTTCATCATTCCTTTTAGTGTATACTTGTGTATTATTTTATTGTGTATGTGTAATATTTAAGTAGACCAAATTTTAGGTCATCTATTAAAAATTAAGCATTAAAATTATTTTAGTAGTCTATAGAGAAATGGTCACCAAAGGATACAAAGAAACTATTTATTGAGCACTATTTTGTATGTAATTATGATGCATAATTTTTAATATTATTTATTTATATTATTTTCTTTTTTATTCTGCTATACAATTATGTTTATTTTTAGCTTAAAACAGTTTTATACGAGCAATTTTTAATACTTTGTTAAGATCAATAAACTGTTTATTTTTTATTGTTTATTTTTTTTTTTCAGTCATGGTGATAATGAGTATGATGTATCATAAACATTTTTCATCATACAGGAAATCATTACTTACGAATTTCTTAATACTTGGGCCAATTTTTTTTTAATTACATAAAGTAATTAAATTTTTTATTTTCACCTTTTTCTTTTTATTTTTTGAAGCTTTGTTTTTTTTCCTAGTTTAATACATTTATATTCTGTCATCTTATCATATATTTAGAAAAGAGAAGTACATATCGAATTTTAACTATAACAATCATTTCTGTATTATAGATACCTGAAACTTTATATCTTAATGTTAAGTTTTTTTATGATAAATGTAACAATAATAGTTACGTTATTATTATTATTATATAATTTTATTTATTTATATGATAGGTGTCAATTAAAATATTGTTTTAATAACTCAACATGAAAGTGATAGTTTAATTAGGAATCAGGTGGAAATTAGTTTAATTATTATTATAAATTTAATTTTTTTTTCGAATTATTTGTTATTTTATTAGATTAATATTGTTGTTCCATGTTGTAAAATAATATTGGGTAGCTTTTAAATGATAATGATTTTTTTAATATGAATGCCAATGTGACAATCAAAATTCTAATTGACTAGTTTGCTGTCATGCACAATGTCAAATACTATTCTTGATAACTTAATGGGCAGACAATTACCATTTTGTCACACAAAAAATTAAAAACAACAATGAAAAAATTGGCAAGGGTCTTAAATTTTTTGATCTATGGTTTTTGTGTGTCCAACTCTTTAACTTTCATTTTTCACAAATACATTGTAAATTCAATAATATTTATTTAGATTTTAATAACCAAGACACAATGCTAAAACCCTACACTTTGTTATTAAATTTGTTATCTGATTTATGATAGCTGTTTTAGTCCTACCCATGTCAATTTGAACGCTCACAATGCGTTATTTGCAATAATAATTTTAATATATTTTATTTAGATATATATTAAGTTATGTTATAAAGCTAGTGTACTTTCACTATAAATATAGCAATTCCAAGCTATTAACTCAGACAATCGTTTATGGACTCTACAATTAGTATCCGTATTCATGTAGATGTATATTTATAACAGTAATTGAGAAAATGATAAAATTTCCTTTTTTGTCCTAATTACTTAATACTCGTAAGTATTTTATTATAATACTTGAATCAATAAAAATTAATTTCAATTATTTTAATGTTTAGATGTATAATCATAATAATAATTGTATTATTAATAATTATTACTACTAACGTATTATATTTGTTATATTAAAAGTAACGTAGGTATCATGTTATAGACATGATTTTTTTTTTTGATGCAACATACTACGTTAGGATACTTAAAATTTAAATTAAATCAATATAATTGAAGCACAAGCAGTTCTATTTCTCATCTCACTTCATTATTCTTACACTTGTAAGCAATTAAATTCTATAAACATATTATTTCATTATATTTTTGCATGTCTCAATGATTTGTAAAATAACTTTTGTACTTACATGCTTTACTTGTATTTGAGTATGTTCTCTGTACTGCAAATTCTTTTAATTAAACCAATTATTAAAAAAATTTAAATAATATATATTGATTTTAAATTGCATTAACTTACATGAGAATATCAATTTCAACTCGTTTCTTCAAACATTAAAAAAAGTTCAATTTACATATGTTCCTAAACATTAGACCAAAGTATAAATAATTAAATAGAAGTAAATAATTATAAATGTTTTTACTTCACGTTGTTATAATACTTTAAACTGTCTAATATTAATTAAATAACAAATTAATTTTTTTTTGGAAGTAATCTGATAATCTCACTTACTAACTACTTTTATATTTTCAATTTATTGAATTTGTATCATCAGAGAACTTACCATGTGAATACTCTTGTTTTTTATTATAATGTATTACTGATTGTTTGGAAAGGATAGATAACTTATTTTAATACGAATTATTAATATTATAATTTATTTCTGAAAAATATTAAGAAAATATAAACTATTTGTTGTATATTAAATATTTAATAAGTATAAAATAGCATGTGTTGCTTAAAAAAATGAAATTTTAAATTTTGTGAAAATTTTATAAAAAAAATATTTATTTATTAATAATACATTTAAATAATTTTTATGAGATTTCCAAACAATCGATTAGTACATATTGTACTCTCACTATTCTATCTTGTTTGTTTTATGAAAACCAGTGCCAAAATAAATAATAAACTCTATGGAGAAAAATAATTTTATAAAAAAATATTTTCGGAGAAATCGACAATCAAACGGGGTACGAACAATCATTAGCATTAAATACTTACAATCATTTTATTTAAAACGTATATTATATTTATGAAAAACGATTTGTATATTAATATTAATTATTATAATGTGTTATTTATATTATTATCTTCTTATGTATTTCACATCTATTTTTTTTTCATTTCCTATATTTTTACTTTTAATGATGTGTATTTTTATGACTGTAACATTTTTCTATTTTCTTTTTTCTTAATAATACAAAATACACACTGTTTATCTTCAATTCAACATTGTTTTTATATCTGTTATATGCTATCTTTTGTATTCTATCTTACTCTATTCTCTCTCTAATTATCTTAAATTATTATTTTTATGTTAAATAAGTATATTGGTGTAAATAATTTTTGTCTTCATTTTATAGAGGGTATTTTATGTGAAATACCTCTTTCAATAAAATTATAAATGAAAAGGTTAGTGGATAAAGCCGATAACTGACATTTCTTTGTAATTTAGTAGAGGTGTCTATCCAAGTTATAGTATATTATAGATCACTCCTAGACCAATATTTTTAGAAATCGGTTTTTCATTAACACTAAAAACTGCAAAAATTCATCCGGAAAATACTTTTAACTGACACTTAAACCTTTATTATTATTATTTTTTATAAAATTATTAATAATTATTACTTTAATAAGAGTACTTTTTTACGACTATACTATATGATCTAAAATAATTGACAAAGAAATTAATGTAGAAAATTATAACAACATCAAAGGCGGTGATGTTTTTACATAAAAAAGATTTTTTGATTAAATTTAAAGAATAATTTTTTCGAAGAGTTTATAAAAAAATTTAAAGGAGTTGTTATTTTGAAAAAATGTTTAAACATGTATAAAAATTGAAAGAATTGATTCAAAATTTTTCAGAAAATATTTTGTTGTTAATTTTGAATAAATGATTTATAAAAAAATGATCATCAGAGTAAAAAATGTACTTTTTTTGNCAGAAAATATTTTGTTGTTAATTTTGAATAAATGATTTATAAAAAAATGATCATCAGAGTAAAAAATGTACTTTTTTTGAACAGTTTTTTGCGTTGATTTCAAATTTGCTATTGTATTTTTTCCATCGCCATTAATTTTTGTTATTATTACTACCTAGAGAAAAATGAGTATTAACATTAAAACACTAATAAAAAAAAAATATAGGTTAAAATGAAATTCAACAACACAACATAGGACGAAATCATAGGTAAAACTAGGCCCGGTTTATTTTTGAATATCAGTATATTATAGAATACTATAGGCCCTACAATATAGGGTATAGTTTATACGGAATAACAGAATATAGTTTTGAATATTTCAATTGTAGTATCTATTTAAACACCAAGAGTTCCATAGAAATGATTACTAAGACTTCTGGATGAACGCAGCGTTCCATAATGGTTATCTCATTATGTATATTGTCGTTGAGACAATTTTTTTTTTTTTTATTTATAGTACGTAACAAAAGCTTCAATTTATTATAAATTTAAAGGACGCAGTATTTCTGGAACATTTTCAAAAGTTATGTTGTAAAAATTGACTTTTGTGAAAAAATTGATGTTTAGAATTTCCCCTTATAGGCAGATAAATGATCAGATTTTTAACATTTTTATTAAATGTTAGGAAAATGTGTAAGGTTTTTATTGTGATCTTTTGACATATCTTTGAAAGAAATTAGTTCACTCGGAGCTGAGAAAAAGTAGTGACAGATACAAAAAAAAACATATGGTAAAACTAATACCTTCTCAGCTACGGATTGAAGCTAAAATATTTTTCCAAAAAAATTTCACATTCCACATTGTTGTGGGTCTATAAATGGCAAATATATCGTCATTCAGGCAGCACTTGGTGGATCAGAATTTATACATTACAAGGCAGTTGTAACTATAGTTATATTACACTTATTGAAATGTTATTTGTGTGTTAATTGTATTCTTTGGTACATAATTACCACTTAAAAACTTGCCATAACTTCATAAGCAAATCAAATGGGTTTGTAAATATTAGTTAAATTTGGGAAATTCTAGCCCAGGCATCTGCTACAAAATTCTATTTTTATGAACTGAATCTTAGGATTCCAAATAGCAGATTCCTGTTTAGTTTAAGATAAAAAATATTTGAATAATTTCATGTTTTTAAAACTAACATTCAATTTAATAAATATGAATATAAACATCGAAGCTAATATAAAACTACATTTTTTATTCTACTTAGAGCAACCACTACCTTTTTTTTTGTACCTCAATGTCTTACAATATAAATATATATATTTTTTAATTATATTGAATTGTAGTAAAATAATTTAATTGTTTAAATTTATCATAGCTTCTCTGTATTGTTTGTTTAATTCGAATTTTTAAAAATAATCGTTTATATTAAACTATTATTAAAACATATCTTACACTTTATTCTTAGCATAAAAAATTTGAATTAGAAATTCAATTTCATATATTATTATGGCTTTAATGTAAAAACTAACTAATAATATTTATTAAGCAATCCAAATACTGTTAATTTTATAAACAAAACTTTTATTTCAATTTATTAAAATAAAATTGTGTTTTTATTTTTAAAAAAAATTGATTTTTTTTATAAATCAGAAATCTGTGATTATCTCGGGATAAGATATAAGTGAATAAAGTATAATCATAAATATTTTATGAATTATTAACTTTATCCG